TTTTCATTTCGCATTGCGATTTTCATTTCGCATTGCGATTTTCATTTCCGCATTGCGATTTTCATGTTGGGATTTTCATTTCGCATTGCGATTCTCTCGTTGCGATTGTAATTTCCGTGTTGCGATAGTCAAATGCATGCCTAATAAGTGATAACAACTGAATAACAAGAGTTGGTTAAGTCAAAATGGTTGGCCTGAGTCATTAATTCAACTGAAAATGTTAAAAGTTCACACATAAAATCCACATAATAAAACGTTTGCATTTAAAAATCACCTAAGTTAACAGTCCCAAAAGGTGAAGCCAATTGTGATTGGGATTTTAAAGATGATTGCCTTTTGCTTGACACCATATGAGCTTTGGATTTTGATGAGGATCCATATTTTGGTAGAGGAAAAGATGATTTTGATGGCACTGGTGATCCACATGTCAACCTTGTATGACCACTTTCCTTGCACCGACTACATGTCGATCTCTTCTTCTCTTCACCCTTAGACGGTATACGATCGTGACTTTTTGGTCGGCCAGGTAGCCTTCTGTCCATGGCTGGTGGCAAAACTGTTTGTAAGTCATCTGGTATGTCCCACTCAGAAGGATGTGGAATAGGGTAGACAATCTCGACATAAGTCTGTCGATAAACTTCTGTAGTGTAGCAATCCATAGCGTATGCGCTTGAATCATCTTGGTTTAAATGAAGAGCAACTTTTATAACATGGCCACACGGATAACCAGATGTTTGCCATTTCATACAACTACACGTCTTTGTATTTAGATCGACTAGCCCTTTTAAGTTATTATCCAGTACTTGAAACAAAGTGTTTGAACATGGTTCAACTCTCCATGACATTGACTTCACAACACGTTTCGTTATCTTTTTTTCAGTCCATGGTGTAACACGATGTTCCAATGTTCCTGTAAATTTAAATAAACAATACTTAGTAAAATATATAAATATGATAAGTTACGAATTCAAAGAAATAATACCTGCATGGTTTCTTTTCTTGTAGTACCACTGTTGAATAAAGGCTCGAAAAAACTCCATTAACATAGTAATGGGTAATTTCCGGGAATGACGACTTAGAGCGTTGATTGATTCTGCACTATTAGACGTCATGAAACCATATCTTGCTCCAAGTTGATGTACTCTTGACCATCTTTCAAACCCGACATCTTCTAGTGTTTGAGCACACTGAGGCAAAACACGTCTTAAACAATTTATATGCTTATTGAAATCCACTTCCCGATAAGCTTTTACAGCCTTCCAGTATGTCCATTTGTGCTTTTTTATACCAGCAGACCTTGATTTTAGATTTCTATACAAATGAACACCACAAAGTCCATGAAAAGCATCTGGGAAACACCTTCTAACAGCGTTGTCAATTGAGTTTGCCCTATCGGATATGATTGTCAGATTGCTAATAGGACCTATGCAATCCCTAAGATGCCCCATAAACCATGTCCATGAATCAGAGGTTTCAGATTTGCCAACCCCGTAAGCTATTGGCAATATCCCATTGTTAGCATCCATGGCTACTGCTAATAAGTTTACTCCAAGGTATCGACATTTCAAATGTGCTCCGTCAACTATAATAACTGGGTGCATGCAAGTAATAAACGAACGAATCTACAAAATAATATACACAAGAAATATAATCATTTAAATGTGAAATGCATGTAACTAACAAAAATGAGTCAACAAAATTATATTGATTTACTAACCGTAGCACCAATGGCGATAAACAACAACTCAAAGTGTCCATCTCTATCTGTTTTGATATGAGTTACTGACCCAGGATTTTTCAGCTTTAAATTGTGACAATAAGCCGGCAGTTGGGCAAACGATGCTTCTGGCGACCCCCTCAACAATTCCAAGGCATAACATTTGGCTCTCCAAGCTTGAGAATATGATATACTAATCTTGAACCGAGCATTCATGTCAGTCATAATTTCATGTCCCCGATATACCCTGCCATTCAAAAACATTAACTCAGCCAGAAAACCACCCAACACCTTTTTGTTTGCCTGTCTATGGTGAGGAAAAACTTGGGTTCTTGAACATGTATGTTTATCAATAAAAGTCCTAACTTGAAACATTTCACAATCTTTTATTCTCTTTGCAATCATACGCCACGTACAGTTTTTGTCAATCATACACCTTGTTTCGAAACGATCTTTGCTTGATTTGTTAACTTTTAGTTGATAGCCATCTTCCACACATTTCGTATACAAAGCTATCTTCAAGTCTTCCTTTGTATCAAAACAATCATCTTTCTTGATACGAATAACTTTTGTGTAACAATCAACTGCTTTCTTTACCAACTCTTCTTCCGGTATCTGAAGTAATTCTGGCATATTCCAGTTATACGCCCGTGGCATTTTCTTTTCTTCGGGGACTTTTTCTTCTTCTTTTTCTTCTTTAGGATTATATGAATTACAGAATGGATGTTCAACATGTTCATTCACAGTCGTAACTTCCTCCTCATTATCATCAACAATACATTCTTCGGCAACGGCTGTTTCATCATCAAAATTCGGGTATTGACCAATATCAAAATCATTACACGCAGGGTCTGTTTCTTCTTCTGAAACATCATCAAAATCCGTGTATTTACCAATATCAAAGTCCGGATATTGACCAAGACCAAATTTCGAATACTGACTAGTACTCACAATTTTTTCTGTTGGCTCATCATCGTCTAACTGGTCAATACGAAAACCGGAATTTGGTGCTGAAAGTTGATTGGGATTTGGATTAGAGAAAGGTTATGGGTTTTGAGAAAAACTTAGTTGATTACTACCCGCTACTGACCCAACAATACTACTTCTAGGTTCAACAACATACAATGTAACATCATCTTGTGAAACACTAATGTAAGCAATGAATCGTTCAACATCTTCATTGTCGGTTAACAAATAAACTTTACCATTTCTCTGATAAGATAGCCTAAATCCACTTAGGGGCTCTAAATTCAATTTATTTGAAACACGTAGCATTAGAGTTTCATAAGTTAACTTTTGTAAAGACAATTTTAGTTGAAGATTCATGGGTAAAGGCATATATTGTAAAACACCATGAACATTATCCCATGACCCTCCAAAACACAAATCTATCCAAACATGATCAACATTAGATTATTTCATGGTTGTAAATTAATTTACTAAACAGACGAGCTGCGAAACTAAAACCTGTTGCCGGATTGGGAAGGATGTCGTTGGATATAGAAACGGATGTCGCCGGAGAGAGTGATAGATGGAGATGGAATGAGTTGCGATTTAGGGATTTAGTTTATGATTTGCTGCTGTTGCGTAGTTATATACCCAAAATTTCAGTGTTGTGATTTACAGATTCTCGTTGCGATTTACGGATTATCGTTGCGATTTATAGATTCTCGTTGCGATTTACGGATTATCGTTGCGATTTACGGATACGCGTTGCGATATACGGATACGCATTGCGATTTACGGATACGCGTTGCGATTTACGGATACACGTTGCGATTTACGGATACGCGTTGCGATTTATGTGTTCGCGTTGCGATTTTCATATTCGCGTTGCGATTCTGGAAAATCGCAATGCGAATTTGTACTATCGCATTGCGATTTTCAAGAATCGCGTTGCGATTTTGGAAACTGATTTGCGATTCTGGGGATCGCGTTGCGATTTTTATTTCGCGTTGCGATTTTGTTGGTCATTTTGGCAAATCCAAAAAAAGTTGGTTAAAATCGTATATTATAAGGCATTTTTGGTCACTGAGGCGATTTTCTCTTTATAATATGCATGACTTTAGGGATAAAAACGATATTATATTATAAAAAGTGTATTTTTTTAGGGGCCCAAATATTTATAATATAATATGCATACATATTACTAAACCCACATAACATAAACCAACAGTATTATATTATAAAGACAAGTGGAGCCCCACATGTAGATTTAGTAATATCAGGTTGTTTTAGTAGTGTTCAATAAAAAAATGGTGTTATATTAAACTTAGGCCCCTCAAAAAATTTGGGATTTGCGATTTAGTCTAAAAAATTAATTTTTTTAATTATTAAATTTAAAAATATTTTTAAGAATAGACCCCCTCTAAACGTGGGCCCTAGGCGGTCGCCCCTCTCGCCTACCCTCAAGGCCGGGCCTACAAACCAATCAAAACGCTATTGTAAGGCATTGAACGGAACAATTTCTCACATCCAATACCACTTGGCCACGCCCCAAATAGATTTCTATTTGAAACTATTAAACACTAATATGGGTATTCCTTGTTCGTCAATTCCAGTTCCAAATAGTTATGGAATAGAGTAGATTCTTGCTACGATTTTTGCATGTATGGATAGAGAATTAAACCGAATTTATTGATCATTACATAGAATTCAATTAAGATATTGTATGAAAGTATGATTTCTTCTATTCTCTTGTAAGAATTGAAGCCTTTTTGATTGGGTGAGTTCAAAGAAATATTGTTTAGTCTGCCTTATTTTTTGTCCTTTCCTCATTTTTTTCCTTATATCAAAAAACATATTAATAACTCAATCAAAATTATCTCCAAGAACAAAAGAAAGAAACTCATATGCCTATCGGTGTATGTAATCGAAAAGTTAATCATATACACAACAGTTTGCATGAGGCATGGATGGTCGATCAATCACAAAGGTATTCGGCAATTAACAAACGTATTCATGGAGCACATGAGATGAAAACCATCAAGGAATGAAAGGGTTAGTGACCGCTTTAATCTTAAGACATGTATTAAGAGCGTGTTCAACGTTGTTTTTTTATCGTTCAAAATCACTTCTCTAAAACAATGCTAAATCATGATGTCTACCATCAAAACAATAGAGGGTCCCTTATGATGCAAACAAATTCCACTGTGTTTGCTAAAGTGTCACACTCATAGGGCGTCATTTATGGTAAATTTCAACCCACCGCAAATATCAAGCAAAAAGCATGAATGTCACTTGTTAACTTCAAGGCAATACGTTAAGTTGAAGAATAAAGTACCTGGGAAACTACAACATGCCTCACGCCACTATCATCGTCATCATGCCCATGACCATGTCCATCATCATGATCATGTGGTCGAGTCCTTAGTAATCCATCACATACATCTTGTCCATGTGGATGACTATGCCTATGGTGTGCTGCATGCGCATGCATCCCGACGATGTGCATGCACCCACCTTCCTCTTTCCCAAAAACCTTCCCTACCCCATCATTGTTATCCACAACTAGTCCAATCCCGAGGTCTGAATCCGGAAACAACGACCCGACCCGACCCTGTTCTCCAGTACTTGCTCTAGCGATACCTTGTTTCCTCTCATAGAATTGGGTCCCCACAAAATCAAAAAGCGAAGTGGCCAAAGAGGCGATCATGGCGAAGAAGCCCGGGAATGGGAATTTAGACCATGGGTATTTTGGCAAGCAAGGATCCGTGAGAGCTTCGGTGCCACCGGCGAGCATGTGGACGAAGCCGGTGGCTAGGATCACGCCGGCCGCGAAGGCCTTGGCGGCTACGAAGAGGCTACCGTCTGTACGAAAGAAATTACGGTACTTGCCGATGAGTGGAATTGCGACGCCGGCTACACCGGCGAGGAGAATTGAGGCTATGGCTATTAGCTTTAACTTCAACGCCGCTGGTTCATCACGACGAGCATCTAGCTCCGAGGATTGGCAGCTTGGGTTGCTCATTGAATCGGTTATCGTTTGCAAAAACGACTTTGATGATTAAAAAATGATTAAAATTGATGAAACTTTTGGCACAATTGAATTACTTTGCAGCTAAAATAAGTTTGAATTATGAAATCACATAACCCAAAATTCATTCCCCCCCCCCCCGAAATTTAATTCATTCTCAAAGTTTTCCACCAGTCAGTAACATCAAAAACATAAAATTAACAAAAGGGTACTGGAAATTTACCTCGGAAAAGCGTACTGTTTGATCTGAATCGATCAAGGCAAAGCAGCGGCAATATATCCTAAGCAAATAAAAAAAAAACCAATAAACACTACGAATTAAGAAAAACAAAACAAAACCCCAGAAACAATAAGTGTAAGCGTTTCAATACCAGAGAACAAAGCTGAATGAAGAACACGAGAAGAGAGAATCTAAAGCAAATCAAGTGATGGGTTCAATTTATACATAAAGAGATTTCTTTTCGTTGCGTTTTAGAATGACGAATCAATGTAAAGAGGATGAAGGAAGAATATTGGAACTATACATATACGGAATGTATAAAGATTCTGAGAAGGTTACAGCGGTGGTTATATATACGGCGTCCACAGTTGCGACCTTTTGTTTAAATATGCACTCCGATATAATGTCGACATTGTTTCTTCGAGTCTTCTTTGTTTCCTTAACTCTCGTTTTCTTCCATGTTACTAATCAACGTTTTAGGTTTAATTGTTGATTTAGTCCCTTTTTTACACTAAAAGTCTAAAACTTGAGAATTCATCTTTCATTATAATTTGGTCCCTCTTGTTCTAATTGCTTTCAGAATATTCAAATTGGCAATACTACTACTTAATTGTCGTTAGAACGATGATATGGGGTTTTTCTTAAAGCAGTCTTAAATAGGTCTGTTTACCAACTACGTCGTCTTAATAAATAAAATTATCATTAAATGAATGTTATTATCTATATATATTGAGTTGAAACAATTATATATGTACATGCAGTTGTCGAATTCAAATTAATTCAATCTAAAATCATCCCTACTTATTGTCCCCACTCACCTCTAGACTTTTGTGTGTTTCACGGTTGTTGAGCACTTGTTTCTCTACCAGTGGGGTCAAGATATAGTTTAGGTCTCAAATCAACAATTCTTCAGGTCTTGTTACAATTATGTTAACACCAAGTTTAGGGTTTTAATAATCTGTGTAAATCCATCACTCATTCTTCGCTCTGATCAAGTGTTTTGAAAACCGGACCGGATCGGTCGGTTCAATCGGGAATCGTTGTCTAGTCTGGTTCAATCTAGACCGGTTAAACCGCTACTAGTGAACCGGCCGGAACCGCTGAACCGTTCAAACCAGACCGTCTGAAAACCGGAAAAACCGCCAATTTCGTTTTTTTTAAAAAAAAAAAATTAAACCAAACGACGTCGTTTGTTAAACGAACCAAGTCGAACTTGAGTATTGCTGATCTCGACTCGAACTTGAAAAATTTAAAAGTAAGCTCAACTCGACTCAAACTCACGAGCTAAAAATTATCAAGTTCAACTCGAAATATAATATTGAAACTTGACCTCGAAAAGGCTTGAACTCAAAAAAAATATTTAAAAGCTCGATTGAATCCTAAAATTCGAGCTTGATTGAAGTGAAAAAATAGTTCACTCAATGCTTACCAAAAGGCTCCATGATTTTGAATGTCAAATCACCTCTATTATTTATAGAAGTTAGTTAGGATGATCTTCTATGTTTCTTAGTCATGTGAGATTATTTTTTAAAAAAATTAAACCAAACAATATCATTTTGTTATGATTTTTTTAACCCCAAATTTATTTTTTTAAGTATAGTTATATAATTATATTTATTATTTAATATGTTTTACCTTAAATATTATGTTGTAGTTAATTTAAATCATTTTGTTTCACTTGATTTTATGGTTTTTAACTTATATATGTTATGACTTGCTTTGAATATGAATTGTAATATAAAAAATTATTTTTTATTAAATATTTTTAGTATTTTTATTTAATTTTTTAAATAATTATGACATCGTCCGGTTCTTCCGACCAATTGGATCGATTGAACCTGTAAACCGATAGCATGACCGGTTCGTTAACCGATCCGATTCTAAAAACCATACTCTCATCTCACAGTATAGTTGTTTTAAACCCTCGAGTGTTCAAAACCACAAAAACAAAATACAACAGTCTTTTAGTATAAAATTAGACCATTTTATTTTAGGGGATTAATCAAACTATAATTTAGAGGTCGAATTACTTATGAAGCAAAAAAAAAAATACAATAAATTATAACAACTAATATATGATACCAAACCCTAAATGCGATCGATGTCAGCCACCCAACCTCGTTTAATGAGAAGCCTCATAATTTATCTCCTCACACACGTCCACCAAAGCCAAACCCCCCTCACTTTGTCTTTTTCCCATAGGTTTATTCAACTCCCACAGCACATGCCATTAAAGCCCCAGACAAAAACACTGCTCTTAAAGCCTTAACTTTCCCAAAACTTTACCCTCATCTTTCTCTTTGAAAACCAGAAACCATAAGCCATGTTGGAAGAACCAATGTCCACAGTACCATATTCCATATGGACATCAATCCTTAGCTGGTTTACCCCATCAGTGTTCTTTGTCTTCCTCAACCTCACAATCGGCACCATTTATTTCACTTCCACTTTGACTTACAACAACAATGGCCAAAGGCATGAACAAGACGATGAAACAAACCCAAAGCTTGTTAGATCTCCATCTTTGTTGCACAGGCTGAAATCTATCAACCTGTATGCTTGAGATTATGCTTATAGATCTCAAGAGCCTGCTGTTGCATATGAAAGAGCCCCGGGCTTGAGTGATTTCCATTTCTCTTTCCAACACCAACAGGCTTCCCTTGATCGTTCTCCTTCGTACCTGCAAAGGGTTAAGTCCATTAACCTCAAAAGCTACTTCTCTCCCGAGAAAGGCCATGAAAGTTTCTCCCATTATGCACCGGAAGGGAGAGCGGAGGAATCCGAGGCGACCCAAAGTGATGGACGGACGCTTGATGAAATTTACAGTCAGCTGAATGGTGAAAATAGCCATGTTGCGAGGACTAAATCTGATACTAAACCGGCATCCGGGGAGATACCGACTAAGCTTCCTAGGAAGATGAAGAAATCCGCTAGTGTAAAGTCCACTTTTCTACATTTTGAAGAAGATGATATCGTTGAAGCTCGACGGCCGGCCACCGTGAGGGAAGGGAAAGAAAAATCCACGGAGGAAGACGAGGAAAATAATGAAGTGGATGCCAAAGCGGATGATTTCATCAACAAGTTCAAGCAGCAGTTGAAGTTGCAAAAGCTCGATTCAATCATTAGGTACAAGGAGATGGTTAATAGAGGAAGTGGATGATGAAAGTAAATTACTAAACTTCAAAGCTTTAGATTTTCAATATCCTTTTATGGGGATTAATTTCAGGGTTTTCCATGATCGGTGAGGCGGTAGATCCAGTACTGGTATTGTTTTTCCAGAACTTTGTGTTAGGAAAATATGGCACTGTCATTTCATCTTCTAGTTTCAAACATTAAAAGCTTCATCTTCTTCACTTGGTTTGAAGAGAAAGGCCTTTAACGGGATAGGTTCAAATTTAAAATCTTACTAATTTTGGGATTAATGAGCTCACTTCCATTAATGTTCACCATTGTCGTTCCTAGCATTAAGCTTTTTAGCTGTTGTCTACTACAACTTCGTTGTTTTAGATGGCTATATTCAATGAACTTAGTGCTATCTTTTTACAATTAACTATAATTTTTTTAACTTTTATCCTATTTTTTTAATATTCTACTTTGATTTCAAACTTTTAAACAATTTAGTTTTATCTTCAAATTATTAGTATATATTCATCATGTTTATTGTTAATAAAATTATTATCTGTAATAAATTTTATTCTACATTGTATTTTTTAGAATCATTATTTAGAATGAAATTGAAATGACATTTGATTTTTATTTTTGTTTCTCTTAATTTATGTATAATTTTTTCAACGTTTTAAAATTTATGTATTATTTTATTTTATATTCAAAATTAATTATCTTTTATGTCATATTATATTATTATATAATACACATTAGTATCTAAATAAAAGTTAATAACTTTTGTGTTCATTTCATTAATAGTGGTCATGATTAACATATATCGATGTAAAATGTTCAAAGTTTTGAGATCAATTTAAAATAAGAATTACAGTTTAATTATTAAATTGGAATGTTGAAATAGAGTTACAGGTTAAATATTAAATTGGAATGTTGAAATGTTTAGAGATTAATTTAAAATAAGAGTTATAATTTAGGGATAAAATAAGAGTATTTAAATGTTGAAGTACTAATTTAAGATCAAGATCATAGTTTTAGAGGTGTAGTGCAATTAACCCTGTTGTTTCAGACAAGACTGTGGGAGCTGTCGGTTCCAAAGTCTGAAGCGGAGAAAAACTGTGTAATGTGTGCGGCCTGTTTTACAGGAGAGGAAGAGACAGTTTTTTACTAAAAGGCCCCACGTTAGTTCTGGACTGAATGGAGCGATGGGGCGATTTTGGTAAAAATGAATATAAAAGGAGTTTATTTTCATTATATTTTAATAAAAATATGTCTGTCCACGTAAAATGCTGATCACGGTCAGGTGCTTGGATGTGATGCACGTGGGAGATTTTGTTTGGGTACTTTACGTTAACACCCAATCTAATGCCCTCTCGTAAGAGTTTACTACAAAGCCTATTTAAATATATATTTTTTAATCTCCGTTTTTTAATTTTATATAATTTAGTCCTCTTAAATTAATTGTTTAATTCAAAGCATCCCTAAACATAATAGGCTCTATGTTGATGTTAAAAGCCAAGTTTCAAATCCTACGTAATTCATTCGAAGAATTGTAATATGTACGCTTTTTATTAAAAAAATATCATTTTTCGTACTTTTAAATCACTTGATTATTTATTATCGATCTTTTTCACTTCATGCCATAAATCATGTTTGGGCCTCCATTCAAGTGGAAAAAATGGATTTTGGGTGTTTTGTGGATCCTATTTCATGTCCATGTAAACTAAAAAAAGGCCGATAGCCCACGTCGGGAGAAGATATGGGGGAAATGCACTTATGAAACATCGTCAAAACCCGAATGGAAACAAACACAGAATCGAACATCTCAAGAAAAACCAAATAGAACATTACCCCAGGAGTAGAGAGCAGATCGCTAGAAGAAAAAAAAACGGACACAAGACAGTGAAAAACGGAGGGAAACAAAGAAAGAAAAGTTCAGTTTTGTTTCCTTACAAAGACAAAACAAAGAAGGGAAGGTATGGTTTGGATGGTGAACCAACAGGTACCAAGAGGAAGAACTCGAATTTGGGGAGCTGCATTGCTGTGTTGGCTTTTCATCATGTTGGTTACCCCAAAGATCCCACTTTCTTACAAGAACCATCTCTATGCCGACATGCGCAACTTCGTTGGTAAAATCATTGTTTTTCATTTATGTTCAATGAGAACAAAGTGAAGTTGGAGAAAATTGTGCTTAGGTTATTAATTTAAATTGGATTTTAAAGGGGGAGATATGAAAAATTTGTTCTTCGTTTTGCCATAGGAATTCCTAACACGTTGAACGTGATCACCAATTTTCCATTTCTGGTTGTGGGAGTTCTGGGGTTTGTTCTTTGCCTGGGATGCGGAAGCTTTTTTAACATAAGGTTGTTGTTTTTTAATTAAAGAAACCCTCTTTTCTCGATGTCCTTTTAAGTTGTAAAGTTTGAATTTTTGTGGCCAATTGGTGATTAACTGATGGTTTTGGACTGGCAGATTGCGAGGAGAGTTGTGGGGTTGGGTGTTTTTCTATGGAGGGATTGCAAGTGTGGCTTTTGGTTCAGCTTATTATCATCTTAGACCTGATGACAACCGAGTGTTGCTGGACACCTTGCCGGTTAGCCTCACGAGTTTACTTTACTTTCAGTTCTCCATTGTCGTTTCTATCATTGAACTATTGTTCTTGATACTAATAATTGCCCTAGTTGAAATGATTAGCTTTGATATTTTGTTTTGTTCTTCGAGTTTTACTTTCATTGCCAATGCCAAATAGGTGAAGTTCCAGTTACTAAATTTCTATTTCGGTGTTTTTATTGTCGATAATCAAGGGTCATTTGAGTTTTTATTACTTTATTACTGTTAAATGTTTAATGATATTAATTCATTCTGCATATTGCAGATGATGATTGCTTATTCCTCACTTTTCTCTATTTTTATACTTGAAAGACTCGGAGAAAAAATCGGATTAAGTTGCTTGTTTTCACTATTAGTTCTTGCTGTCCTATGCACATGTTATGCAAGGTTTGATTCTCTCTTGAAATGTTATACTTATCTGTTCGTTGAATCAGTTGAAGCTTGTCATTCAAATTTTAATTTGTTTTGGCTGAGTCTGATTCGGTTGTTGTTTGCAGAACATTTAATGATCTTCGGTTGTGCATGACATTCCAGTTCATTCCGTGCATAGCAATTCCAATCATGACGTTTTTTTTCCCGCCTAAATATACCCATTCGAGATACTGGCTTTGGACGGTAGGTATGTCATTGATCTTCCTCTTTCACTCTCGCTCTCTTGTTCGATTATTCTTCTTGTTCTCTCTCGCTCAGTTTTTGAAAAGCATCAGCAATTCGTAATATGTTCTTTCCCGACTCTTCAAGAATGTTGGTTTACTTAAAATTCTGAAAACTGTCCGGTACAGGAGTTTGCATCCTGGCCAAAATGGAAGCTCTAGCTGACATGAAAATATACCGAGCAAACAAATATATTATCAGTGGACACTCCTTGGGGCACCTGTGTTCGGCTATTGCCCCTGTTCTGATTACGGTTATGCTCATGCATAGGAGTTGCAGATTCCCGAGGTATTCGAATTTGAAAGTTCAGAATGGAAATTATTAGATGTATTTTAGTATTTAATATAACCAATAATCCAAATGTAATCACTGAATTGCATTTAAAGGCATTCAGAAGTGTTATTATAATATTTGAGTGTTCCATATTCGGAAGTAGATTATTTGCGCCTTCCCACTGCTACGCAATTAAGACATCCTTTACTTTTAACTGCAGTGTTAGGACCGAGTTTGAGATGTCCTCGTAAATATTCGTTCTTAATATGAATTACATTTTCTGCTGATGACTTGCAGAAAAAGTTATTGTTTTCTCTTACTTGGTACTGGAAGTCATGACAGATTAGGTGAAATCAAAGAATGTCCCTGACTCCCTGGCGAAGAATCCAAAAATTCGATGAAGGCATTTATAGGGCAACATTCACGGTGACCGATAAATTTTTATGCGAAGAATCATGGAAGCTGACATCTCTGCCGATGAAGAACATTGTAAGATTTATTCTCCTGTGCTTTCGGCATCACTATGGATCTGCAAAGAATGAAGGCAAGTAGAATTCATTAACCATGACACCATTTTTAGAAATGCACATGATGTGTCTATTGTCTCTTGACTGAGTTATTACACATTGTGATGCTTCCATACCATGTCATTATTCATGGCCATAGTGTAGTGCACATTTTGCTTGTATTGTTTCTCAGTCTTTGCCCATTCTTCATAGTTTTACCATATGCGTCTTATAAGACGACATGTATTACACTCGCCTAGAGACAATGTCAACAGCTTTTGGAGTAATTCATGGTACTTAATGGACATGCTACTGACATTCATGTAGCAGATGTCAAATTGAGTACTAATATGAATCAAAATCATAATTTTCTGAAATGAGAAGTACTTCCAGAACGATTAGCAATTATTTCTTGTCAATAGGCATCAAAGTTTCCCGCCATTTTCATCCTTTGCTTTTCCCAGTTTCTTTTTTCGGGATTAGATTGTTGGATAGCTTGTTACTAGGAGCAAATTAACCGGGATAGTCACCGGTATGCAATGAGGCTTTGAAGTTGGAGGATAATCTCGATCGCCAGCCTCCTTGTGATTGTCCTTTAGATTAATTTCGTCAAATAACATGCAATCTCGATGCAAAACGACACAAAAATTTCGTTTGCATATAATGAGAAGTGTGTTTATAGGTATCCTTGATTTGAATAATCACTTATCCCTTGTGGATAAAGGCATAAAAATTCCGAAGCTTATGTAAGGGGAAATACTTTGGATGGATGTTCGAACCTACAAACGAAGAACCGGCATTATGTCACGAGCCATATTAACTTATACCATATTACCAACTTCGGAATGTTGCTTCGGCTTTAGCCTCACTTATGCCACGATCGAAATCGACGCATATAGTAGTATACAGCAATGTTAGATGGGTGACTGTCATTGTTGCTTAGAATTTGGTAGGAAAAAAAAAGGAAAGAAGAAAGTGAGGCATGAAAGGCAATTTAGAAGATGAGTTATCATCTTAGAATATGACCCTACATTGACATGGCAATGAGGTCGTGATAATCATGGCAAGATAATAATGGTATTATAAAAGATCCTCCAACCTTGTTAATTAAAAAAAGAAAATATTTACTTGGGTTTTAAGATAATGCAAAAGGGATGATTTACCTACTATTAATTAAACCTCTCTCTATTCCATATAAGCCTAATCACATTAACCATTAAAAAACATAAATTAATCCCTAAATATTAAAAATATGATCATGCAAGAAAATAGTTAAAAATTCGATAATTTTATTGTCGGTTACGAAAGAAAAATACTATTGACACCAATACAAGATGAACGCAACAATGATGCTATACTAAATTTTATCACAACTTAAATGTGACTTATCTGAGGTAACTGTGAACACTTATCAATATGAAGATCCAAATTATGGATAAAACAATAAGATAATCAAATAAATATCAATTGGATAGATAAAAAAGGTGGAAAAAAATATAAGAGTTATTATAAAGTATGTGTGGTAACCGGCTTGATAAAAAATCGATAATACCACCACTAGTTATTAAAAAAAACTTAAAAATTTAATCATTATTTATAATTATAAATGTAATTATTAATATTTTTTTTAAAAAATCATCAAAATAATGCATCAACCAATCTAGTCAAACTAATTACTAAATCTGAGATCTATAACCAAAAGGGGAAAAAAAGGTAACCTGAATAATTTTTCTGATAATTTACGCCATCATCACATCTCAATTTTCTTTGATATAATTAAATCTTTCTATCTTCATACTCAAATTAGTTTACCTAAATAGTTAATGCTGTTAATTATTCTGATTAAAATGTTAAATGTGAATTTTCACTTACATGATGAGTTGAGAAAGTGTCTTTAAGAAGAAGAAGAAACACCTCACTATTTTAATCGAAATAGCTAATGGTATAAGGACTACATATAACTTCAAACATAATAGAGGAACCAAGATCAAAATTTTGCCAATTTTTTACAAAAATAATATTAAAAGTTTCAAATATGGTGAGGTTCCACCATCGAAAGGTAGAAAGTACCACTCTTTTCACTTCAGTGTACAATTCTTCCCCTCAAATTCACTCTTTCTCTCTTTACAAATCTTAGCTTTCTCCATTTCCCCCACACAAAACCTTCTAGTACTTTGTTTGGTTTTTTTTCTCATTGTTTCTGCAATGGCAGACAAAGTATTCCCTTCCTCCAAAACCGCCGCTGCTCCACCCTCCGCTAATGGTGGAGCAGCCGTTGCCACAACAATCAAAACCAACGGCGGAGCCACCAAATCCGATCTTATTAACCCCACACCTCGCCTACCATACCGTCCACAACCCCGTAACAGACGCCGTCAATACCGTCCACGGAGGAACTATTGTTGCTGCTGCTGTTTCTGGATCATCCTCATAGTCCTCATCCTCGCACTTTTAGTGGCCATAACCGGTACTGTCCTTTACGTCCTTTACCGCCCTTCGTTCACTCTCGCTTCCCTCCGCATACACCGCTTGAAACTCAAGACCGCCGCCGACGGCTCCTCCTCTCATCTTTCGACGGTCTTCAACTTAACCCTTTCTTCCAAAAACCCGAACTCCCATCTCTCTTTCTCTTACGATCCTTTCGTTGTTTCGTGCGTGACAAGCAATGGCGACGTTTTGATAGGGAACGGGACGTTGCCAGCGTTTGTGAGTGGCAGTAAAGATGAGTCGACTTTCAGGGGGGTTGCGGTGGCGGCGTCGATGGATTTGGATGCGGAGACGGTGAATGACTTGAAGCCGGAGCTGAAGCAGGGGAGTGGAGTGTTGTTGAAGGTGGAGATGGATACTAAAGTGACAGCTAAAGTGGGTGGCTTGAAGAGCAAGAAAGTTGGGATTAGGGTTACGTGTGATGGGATTAAAGGGGATGTTCCGAAAGGTAAGTCGCCGGCGGTGGCTAACGTTGCTGGAGTTAAATGTAAGGTTGATCTCCGGATTAAGATCTGGAAATGGAGTTTGTGAGAACATTCAACAACAGTTTTCTTTCTTTATTTTTTTTCAATGCTTTTGTTTTCATTGTTTTTGGTGTTTGTAAAAGAAATTATCAATGAAAAACGTCCCTTCAGACAAATAAACCCATCGAATTTAATTAATGTTATCCGTAAAGTATATATGAGTATCTAGAATTATAATATTTTAGATATTATTATAAAAATATAATATATTTTATCATTGCAGGGGATCTGCTTATTAGGGCTGAACAATTAAACCGAGAAAATTGAAAAATTTACACGAACCGAGTAAAACGGTTCGTTTCGGTTTGGTATTATACGGTTTGGTTTTCGGTTCGATTTAAAATATTAATTATTTTGATTCGGTTCAGTTCGGGTTTTTCATATGAAACTCATTTATTCTATATTAAACCGAATAGGCAATTTTTTTTTAAAAAAAAGTTAGTTTCAATTGATTTTTTCATTGAAAAATCAAAAAACTAAACCAAATCGAAAAATTCGAACCGAAAAAAACGATTTTAGTTTTTTTGATTTTTTAACCATTCGGTTTCGGTTTAAATTTTGAAAAACCATTTATTTCGGTTCAATTCAATTTTTTAGATTCAATTTTTGATAAAAAAACTGAACTGAACCGAACCGAATACATCCTACCGCTTATATTTAGGGCGGAACATAAAAGTAAAGCGGATCAGAAAAAATGGTAGAGGGTAGACACAAAATCTAAAAATTTGCTGCAGCAGCAGACATGGCATGATAACTGGTACACAAATTTTGTTCGGATTTGTCGAATCTATAATTGGGCCATATATACCCACCTACTGAATCACTTCAACAACGAAACACACACAACTCTACTACTAATCTATTGCCTATATTTCAACTGTCGGTCACAATCCTTTCTCCGTATATTTATTAATTGAATTTATTAATATTTTTTTATTTTTTTCATATATATATTAAAATTTTAAATTATTTGAGTCAATTTATTTAAATCATTAAATTGAATATTTCAGTTTAAATTTTGAACCGAATTTAAATTTATTAAATTCAAATAAACAAAAATTAAAACAGCATCGTTTTGATATTTAACTAAGTAATTTTATTACTTAACTCAATCAAACATTCCTTTATAGACATAATACAATAATTATATGTTATAATTAACTTGAAATTCATTATTATTCATTCCAACAATATCTTGATTGTTTATGTTAAAATACTATTTGATGAAATAATTATAAGAAGGGTTTGCTTGCTGAAGTCTTAATCGTTTCATAGTATTATTGCATCAAATCATGACAATAACAGAACTCTAAAGTCAACAAATCTTCTGACTTATGATATTATTGCATACATACTGAACTAAAAACCAGAAAATGGACAAAGAAAGAATCTTCCTCTGTAGAACTTACGTCCGAAAATATGTGATTGGTTGCCGAGAAAATGAAAATATTATTACCAGATACTCTGGTGGTGGTTCAAGAGAGTGAAGGATAAGGCTGTGACTGTCGGTTTCAACAATTGCTGGAATTCTCTGGCGTCCTGGACGCCACACTACGCCACCCATTTACACGCACGTCTTAATCCCATTATTCCCATTGCTAATCCTTTGGTCAAATTTTGGTCTTAATCTCTATATTTTGTATAATTTTGTACTTAGTCACTATTGTTTACTCTGCCTTAAACTCTGATCAATGTGCCAAATGAAATTTGAAGAAAAGAGTTGAATGATAATTACCTAAAATATCGCCAATAATATCCATTAAGGGCTTCCGGTTTGATCGTATTTACATAATAGTGCATTTTCAGTTAGTGATAAAAATAACAAATTAATATATAATGAATAAGGTCCAATTTAAATATAGTAAAGGTACTAAATGTACAATTTTACCAAATCGTCTTTCATATATGCTGAGCTCCTTTTAATTCCCATGCACCTGACCCAATCTCGTGTTTCACTTTGATGACAAACGCGCGCGTGTTCTACGCTCCTTCCTCACGTGTCACCCTCTTCTCCTCATCATCATATATCAACGGCTCCTTACCTCTCTCCCATTCTGTATTTGGGTATATTATTCTCTCTGATACCTTTTTTTTCTCCATCATTTTCTTGGGAAAATTAAAGGGAAAAATGTTGTTCATGGTTTTCTTTTTGTTTTTCACTTTGGGTCAATGCAGTGTTGATTATAACGCTTTATTGTCCTTCAAAGACTCTGTTTTCGATCCTTCAAATTCGCTTTCCTCATGGGCTAACTCATCCAATCCTTGTTCTGATTCTTGGTATGGTGTCACATGCAACCCTTCGACTCACCGAGTTACGAGACTCGTTCTTGAGAACCTAAATCTTTCTGGGTCAACTCGATCACTGCATCACCTTTCTCACCTTAGACTCCTCAGCCTTAAAAATAATCGATTTTTCTCCTCTTCCCGAGTTAATTTGTCTTCGTGGCGTTACTTAAGGCATCTTTACCTCCGTGGAAACCTATTCTCGGAAACATTCCCCACCGGAATCTCCACTCTTCGGCGGCTCCACCGTCTCGACCTTTCGCACAACGATTTCCACGGCGAAATCCCAATGGCCGAGTTGACTCAGTTGCCGTACTTGTTGACTCTCCGCCTCGAGTCGAATTCGTTCACTGGACCACTCAACTCAATTCCCTCGTTTTCTTGCATTTCGGACTTTAACGTCTCCGATAACAGTCTCTCCGGTGACATTCCGTCGTGGATGTCTCGTTTTCCAATCTCTTCCTTCGAAGGAAACAAAGCCCTCTGCGGCCATCCTCTGACGTCCGATTGTTTCAATCGGACGGCACTCCCGGCTTCCATAACACAAAAGATGCATCACCCCGAGACGAAGAGGCTAAGCAATGAAGTGATCCTGATGATCATCGCCGTAGACGCGGTGGCCGTTATGACGGCGATAGTATCCGTTACGTGGTGTTGTTACAAATACAAGTGTCTCTCCCAAAACGAAGGGACGGAAACAAAAAGTGGGTCGAACTCCAAATCGTCGAGGCCGAATTCAATAGAGGCGGAGGAATTGGTGGTGTTGGAAGGGTGCAAGGGTTTTAGGAAAGTGGGTGATCTGTTGAAGTCTTCGGCGGAGCTGTTGGGCAAAGGGAGTGTGGGTACCACTTACAAGGTGGTGACGGACGGCGGCGATGTGGTGGTGGTGAAAAGGGTGCGGCAGAGGAGGCGGCGGAGGGATGTTGATGGGTGGTTGAGAATAATTGGCGGGTTGAGGCATGCTAATGTTGTGTGTCTCCTAGCATACTATAACTCCAAGGAGGAGCTGCTTTTGGTCTATGAGTTTTTACCAAATGGAAGCTTGCATTCTCTCTTGCATGGTTAGTCTAAATTATGATTTGTATTAGTTTAAGGGCTTATTTGGACAAAATGTATTAGTTTATGGACTTAATATGTTATTTGCAGGAAACAGGGGACCGGGAAGGATGCCATTGAGTTGGCGAACGAGGTTAAAGCTAGCTTCCGAGGCAGCTAAAGGCCTAGCGTTCATCCACGGTAACAAAAAAGCCAAAATCCTCCATGGACACCTTACATCATCAAACATCCTAGTGAACAACCAAGGCAATGCCGGCATTTCGGATTCTGGTCTCCACCAAGTCTTATACTCCCCGTCTCCGACCAACGATGACTACAAGGCCCCAGAACTGAAGCTCAACAATGGCACCGACGACACTACGGGCCTAAAAAAGTACACGCAAAAATGCGACATTTATAGTTTCGGGGTGATATTACTAGAGATGTTATCGGGGAAAACGGCGAGCGGCAATGGGGAGGGGGGGATGAGCTTGGTGAAATGGGTTCAAAGCGTGGGGAAAGAAGAGTGGGGATGGGAAGTGTTTGATTTTGAGATGTTGGGGGATAAGGTGATGGAGAATGAGATGGTGGGATTAATGCAAGTGGCGTTGCTTTGTGTGGCAACATTGCCTAAAGATAGGCCAAAGATGAGTGTGGTGCATGGGATGATCGAGGATATTAGGGGTAAGAGTGGGAGAAATGGTGGGAATGGGATGGTTTCTATTCTCGATCATTTTTCATCTGATTCTTCACCTTCTCAATCAGAAAGGACTCTTGGGCTTTAATAATTAGGTTATAAATGTAGCCATTGTTGAAGTAAAAAATGGTGTTATACCATGTAAAAACTAGGGATGATAATGGGACGAATATGATATTTTTCTCCCAATTCTACTTTGATTTTCTTTAATATCTGAATTCGTAGCAACTTAAAACAGTTGAAAATAAATACAAAAAGAGAAATGGGTGCAATTTTTGACATGGGAAGTCGTAGTGGTGGTCTGCCTTATGGCTGGATTTGGGGTCCCATTGACACCCGTTCGAAATATGGCCAAGAGATTTTGCTCTCTTCTGTTCTGATGTCGACCTAAACTACTGTTCCACATGCCTTATGAATCTTTTACAATCTTTCCCCATTCATAACCTCAATGTTTGTGTATATACATAGATAAGAGAGAAAGTAATTCGTATTTGTTGTGTATTTATAAATTGCTTCTGGTAGGGGTGTAAATGACACCTATGTTCAAATTATTTGTTCGAGTTTGATTTTTAAAAATATATAAAATCAATTTGATAATTAATGAGCAATTCGAGTTATCAATTTAGCTGATACACAAACAAGGTAAATTCTAGTGCACAACTACATAGAAAAATGGAGTTAATAATACCTACCCAATTCAACATATTTTTGATCTTAGCCATGGAATCATTATGAAATTTCATTTGTTGAATATTTTAGAATCAAAATCGTTTCGCCGTAATGCGTAAATATTTAATGGTATAATCGAAAAATAATTAAATGTTGAGGGCTATTTTTACATCATACCAATATTGGTTCCTTTCAAAAAGAAAAAAAGAACTAAAAAGAGAATTATGATTGGAAAAAGGGAGCTAAACCAGGTCTAATAATCATGTGACAACTCGATCCAAGATTCACTCATTTTCAAGCCCGAGTTTGACCAATTAATTATGATTGGAAAGAGAGAACCGGATTCTTCTTTAGTCTTTACAGACTTTTATATCAGTGCATAATCGCCAGTGTTTTGAAAATCGGATAGTCCGTTTTAATCGGTTCAATCGAGAATTATTGTTTGGTCCGGTTCATTTTACATCGGTTAAACCGCTATTAGTGAATCGAAAGGAACCGTTGAATTGGCTGTAAACCGTTCGAACCAGACTGGACCGTAAACCGGTTGAAAACTGGTTATGTTTTTTTTCTAAAAAAATTAAATCAAACGACGTTGTTTGTTAAACGAGTCATGTTGAACTCGAAAGCTTTAAAAGTAAGCTCAACTCGACTCAAAAACTCACGATCTAAAAATTATCAAGTTCAACTCGAACTTGAAATATAATATTGAAACTTGAACTCAAAAAGGCTCGAACTAAAAAAAAATTAGAAGCTTGATTGAAGCCTGAAATTCGAGCTCAATTGAAGCGAAAGAATAGTTCGCTTTGTGCTCACCAAAAGGCTCCATGATTTTGAAAGTCAAGTTACCTCTATTATTTATAGAAGTCAGTTAGGATGCTCTTCTATATTTCTTAGCCATGTGAGATTATTTTGTTTTCATATTTTTACTCTTTAGACTTTTGTGATGCTCTTCTATTTTTCTTAGCCATGTGAGATTTTTTTTATAAAAAAATTAAACCAAACGACATCGTTTGTTATGATTTTTTTAGCCCCAAATTTATTTTTTGATTATAGTTATATAATTATATTTATTATTTAATATGTTTTACCTTAAATATTATGTTGTAGTTGTAGTTGATTTGAATCATTTTATTTCACTTGATTTTATGGTTTATATATGTTATAACTTGCTTTGAATTTGAATATTTTTTTATTAAATGTTTTTATATTTTTATTTAATTTTTTAAATAATTAATTAATTATGACGTCGTCCGGTTCTTCCAACAGGTCTGATCAATTCAACCGGTTGAATCTGTTAACCGGTAACACTGCCGGTTCTGAAAACCATGATATTCGCTGTTGCATAGAACTGTAGCTGGCAAACAAGAAACGTATTTTTGCAATTTTGATTCTTACATCTATTAAAACCAGCGCAAAGGGAAAGCGAAAAGAAGAAAGAATTTGGAAAAATAAGTAAAGAAATATGGCAGAGAAACCTCAACCGGAGAAAGTATTATATTGTCCCATTTGCTCTCTTCCAGTAGAGTACTGTGAATTTGGTCCTGATTTCGACAAGTGCAAGCCTTGGTTGATCAAGAAAGCTCCTGAGCTTTACCCACATGTTCTTGAAGGTTTCTTTTACCCTTTTTTCTATATAAATTATTAAGTAGTTTGCATGCTTTTTTTTAATCCCATGCCTTTCTGTTTCTTGACTGATGGATATTTTTTTTGTTTTTAATGTGAATTTCTGATAGTTTAAGGCTATGAAAGTTATAGTTAGTTAATTGATGATTTCTCTTTGATGATAGTTTAAGGCTATGAAAGTACTTCTACTTTATTTCTTCTTCTTTGGCATTATATGCACATGACATTGTCAACTAAGTCATTGGAGTAGTGGCATATAGGTCCTGGTTTAATCTTCGAAAACCCCTCCCTATATCATATTCATGTAACGTTTATGGTGCTTTGAAGCTTTTGATTTCCAATGCTTTAAGTGACCATTTCCTTAATTAGCTCAAGTAATCTGCAATGGGACTGGTTTTCTTGATATTTTCTTTTCTTAGTGATGCTTCTTTGATGTTCTAAATCATGTTAAAAATATTTGCGCAAATTCTTATTCAATGTCATTGCTTGAGGACCTTTACCTACTAGATTGCTTATTATAATGTGAGAATAACATATATATAAATTCTTATTCAAGAAGTTGTAATTGAAAAGGTTTTACGTAGCCGGCGCAAATGCATCACCGTTGTGAAAGGATTGGATCTATTTGGTGAGTTTCATTTTCACATCTGATCTTTTTCATCTATTTACTAGTTTTTTTTGTCAAAACAAGTTAATTTCCGATGAGTTGTTTTTCAGGAATTAAGTTTAGTGATGCTACTAAGAATAGGGATGACAAAAGGGTACAATTTCGTAGATTTCACACCGTACCCACTCCAATTGAGACGGGGATGGGTATAACTTTAGTGGATAGTGGGCGGGTGTGGATTTAGAAAGTGGTACCTGTCGCGGGTGATGGGTTTGATGTTGCGGAAGACGGCTATCGGATAGAGCAAAATCACAACTGATAATTTGAGAAAATAAAAATGAAGATAAAAGGAGACACAAAAATTACGTGGAAAACCCCTTAATAAAATAGGGTAAAAACCACGGGCAACAGTAGAAGAATTTAACTATGAGAAAATAGGAATTACAACTTCTCTCGATCGACCAAGGAGAAAACAATGATAATTCTCTCTTGATAAAAAGGAGAAAACAACTCTCAAGAAACTCTCTAAATTCTCTCTAGTATTGGAAGAAAGCTAGAATGCTTTGGGATGATTTTGAAGCTAAATGGATAGGGTATTTATAGCTAAATCTTAAGGATTTAATCTTGTAAATACCCTAAAGTTTAATGATTAAAATGTTGTAATTATCCCCTTTTTTTTCAACAAAATGCAACCATCTTTGAATTAAATCGAAGTAGTTGGCTGCCATCTAGAAGATTAGCCGCCCATGATGACTTTTAACAATCTCCCACTTGAAGATTTGATTGGAACAATTATATCTTCACACCATTCTTTCTACCTTGTACCTTCATGTTGCTTACGTTTCTGACAAGCCACAAGAGGATCGACACCAGGTAAATTTATCAGCGTTGATCGTCTTCGTCATGAAATCTGCTATGTTGTCTTTGGTACGGATCTTCTGCATATCTACCGTCCCTTCTTCCACCTTTTCACGAATGAAATGATATTGAACTCGTATGTGTTTTGTCCTTGAATGAAATGTTGGATTCCTTGCTAGATGCAAGGCGCTTTGACTCTCACAAAATAGATAGACAAACTCTTGATTGTGCCCAAGCTCCTCCAATAACATCTTCAACCAAATTGCTTCTTTACTGGCTTGTGTAGCTGCTACATATTCTGCCTCTGTTGTGGATGTAGCCACAACTGACTGTAATTTTGAAACCCAGCTTACAGCTCCACCAGCAACTTTGAACACATATCCTGTAGTAGATTTGCTTTTATCCAAATCCCCTGCATAGTCAGAATCGACATACCCATTTATAAGTAAGTTTGATCCTCCGTAACATAATGCAATATTTGAGGTCCCTTTGATGTATCTTAGGATCCTCTTTACAATATTCCAATGCTTTTTGCCTGGATTCGCCATGTACCGACTAACCACTCCCACTGCTTGTGCAATGTCTAGTCTTGTGCATATCATAGCGAACATTAAACTTCCCACTGCTGATTCATACGGTACTCAAGACATCTCCATCCTCTCTTTTTCACTGCTAGGACTCATACTGGAGGATAATTTGAAGTTAATAGGAAGAGGGGTAGAAATTGGCTTACAATCTTGCATGCTAAATCGTGACAAGATTTTCTTCAAGTAATTCTTTTGTGAAAGCCAAATCTTCCTATTACTTCTGTCTCGGTGAATTTGCATCCCTAGAATCTTGTTTGCTGATCCCAAGTCCTTCATTTCAAATTCCCTAGCCAGTTGTGCCTTCAATTCTTCAATACGATCTTTGTTGGGTCCTGCAACCAGCATGTCATCCACATACAACAACAATATAACAAAATCGTTATCACCAGACCTCTTGAAATAAGCACAAGGGTCTACATTAAGTCTGTTGTATCCAAGGCACATAATGAAGGAATCAAATCTCTTATACCAACACCTCGGCGCCTGCTTTAGACCGTACAGAGATTTGTTCAACCTGCAAACCAAGTTCTTCTTTTCGTCTTATTCAAAACCTTCAGGTTGGAGCATATAAATCTCTTCTTCAAGATTTCCATGAAGAAAAGCTGTTTTAACATCTAGCTATTCCAAATGTAAATTCAATGTAGCACACATTGCCAAGACTACTCGAACTGTTGTTAGTCGAACCACAGGAGAACAAATTTCATTGAAATCAATACCTTCTTTCTGAGCATATCCTTTGACCACCAGTCTTGCACGATACCTCTCCACTTGATCGTCACCATTT